GATGGGCCGAATGGCCTCCTCTCGTTTGTAAATTTCTTATGTTCTTATGTTCTTATCTCTCACTACTCAGAATATACACAAAAACTCCAAGGGGAGTTTTGTCCTTTTTTTGTTTTTGGCATGGGTAATCACGGCTTTCACTCCCCATGTATGTAATCATTCACAGGGTAATAATGTAAAAAGGAAAAGGAGTGTCTCTGGGGGGCAGGGTCTCTACCCCTGATTGTCTGCAGGGAGCTTTGGTCAGCTTGCTTTTGCTGGGCAGCCATTCACATTCATGCATTCTGATGTGTAGGTCCTGGGGTTGAGCCTTCACATAGGGGCCAGGCCTGGCTCCCCCCCACCTTCCCAACTCCCTCTGAGACCGGGGGGTTGCAATCTGATCCCATTGACTCCATAAGTCATCATGGACTGACTTAATCCTGGCTGGAAAGTGGGCATTATCATCTTCACAGCCATCATCTGACAAAACTGGCGGCAGTGCATTATGGGATATTCCCATTGCGCACTAGGTGTAGCCTCCCATGAGAGCGCCGGTGTGGCTCTGCCCTGACTTATCTCCATGACAGTGGCTCTGCCACCGGGGATGATAGCGGGCAGGACACACTCTCCCTGGAGAAGTAGGAAGGCTCTAATTATGCATCTATTCCCATCTATTCTTTAACTAAGGATCCTCATCCTGTGTGAGCTTTAAGGCGGCCGTCTCCTTAGCTAGAGGCCCCCATTGCGCTCCGCCAGCCTTCCCACTCCAGGAGCTGCTGCCAACCTTGGCTCCTGAGAGGCAGCTCCATGAGAGGAAGTCGGGAGGAAACAAGAAAAAGATATACCTCTGATTATTCATAAATAAAAGAGGGATTTGGGAGGGGGGAGGGCAATGGGGAGTGTCTGTGAAGGAGGGGGAACTGAAGTTACTCAGGAGAAACATGAAAATGGGGAGGAACAGGCACACAGGAAGACGGCCAGGGAAATGCGAGCATTTCTACAGCTCACAGTCACAGAGCCGTGATTCCCAGCCGCCCGTCTTCTGGATCGGGAGGGAGCGACGGGGAGAGAGAGCGGCGTGACAGGAGCATCGCGAGAGGGAATGAAGGAAAACACAGCGGCTCCTTTTCTCCCGGGGCTGGCTGGGGGCGCCAGCGGCTGGCATGGCAGCCTTTAAAGTCAAACACAAAGATGAGATGAAAAGGTACCCTCACTGGGGGTAGGGGGGCGCAACCGGGGAGGGAGAGGAGACGGCGCTTTGACATCCGTGTCAGATGAGCTCCTCTAACGTTTGGCCCATAACGGGGGACCAGGGCTTTTAATAAAGCCAAGGTCAAGGAAGGTCATGGGGACGTAGGCACAGCAGAGGATGGGGGCTCACTCTGCCCTCCCCAACTGAAAACCGGCATGCCGAGTCCTTGCTGGCCTTTTCACTGGCTGCACCCCGCAGACCCGCCTCCCCCGTCACTCCCCGTACCTGCGTGTCACGCGGACATCAAACAGCTGTAGGCGGAGCATGAGGAGACGCACCTGCGTGCCTTTAATGCCCCATTGCCGCCTCTGCTTCAAAGCCGACAGTGGAAAAGAAAGCTGCTCCCTTTTTACCCACGTAGAAAACGGCCATTTGGAGGTTAATTTACTCAGCTCAGAGAAATGAGGCCTGCCAGCCAATGAACACGAAGAACGAGAGCTTTACAGCTGCCACGGTGCTAATAGCAGGCTTGACATCGACGGGAAGGGGGCAGCCCTCACAGCCGTTCACGGTGTTGTTGTAGCCCATGCTATGCAGCGTCTCCTTGCTGCCGCTGCGGGAACTGCGCCCGCTGGCCCATGGGTCGTTGTCATAGGAACCGGATCTGGCCTTCATCTCCTCCTTCAGGATCATCCTGCCAATCCCACTCTGGATCTGGAGTGAGTGATGGATGGAGAGGGGGAGGGAGGGAAACACAAGGACAAGAACAAGGACAGATGGAGAGAGAGAGGGAGAAAGGGAATGTCACAGTGCACTGTGCGGGGAGGCCGGGGTGCGGGGCGGTCGAGGCCGGCCGGGGTGCGGGGCGGTCGAGGCCGGCCGGGGTGCCGGGCGGGGAGGTCGGCCGGGGTGCAGAGCCATGCTTACCGTGCCCAAAGGCACGACTTATTTGATTTTATGAGTGGGGCTATGATCACATTAGCTGTCACATGTCATATCCCACCTAGCGAATTCAGCAGATTGCTCAGCTCTGACTGTATCTTTGCACCTGCTGTGCTCTGACCTCTGACCTATGAGCGTCGTCAGTATGAGGTTGGCAGAGCAAAGCAAATATAATATAGCACAGCTGCTGGGATCACAAGGAGAATGGAGTCAGTGTAGGTCGTAAGGTAAAAAAGAAATACATTCACCAAGCCTGACACACGGCAGAGGAAGCTGAAGGAGTTTCAGAGAGCGGGAGCCCAGGGGCAGGAAGTGACATACACCCTAGCAGGAAGTAAGCAGTCTGCTTCCTGTTCTTATCGCAGGGAGGTCAAGGTGACGTGGTCACGCTAAGTCATCGGCCCCTGGTGACACGAGCCCCGTGAGTGTGAACGGCAAAAATCGGGCAGTCGGCATCATACTCTGTGCAGATTGTGAGTCCATCCGTCCTCCTCCCCGCCCGATGAGAACCTCCGGCGTGGGGCACGAGAGACTGTGAAGACAGAACGAGAGAAGGGGAGTGTCTCAGGATACAGCAGAGGGCATCCCCATCAGCAAAGGGAGGGAGATATGGGGTCAGGCAGATAAACGTTCTTTACAAAGAAGAATGTATATGGGGAGACACATCTGCGGGGGGGCTAGATTATGAATCACAGCCTCAGACATCCCAGACATATATTTATTTTTCTTTAAGCATCCTGGATTGGGGGGAGGGGGGGCTGGGTGGCGCAATAGTGAGATGTAAGAAAACAAGAGCATGGTCCCAGCTAAAGTCCTGGCTCCCCCCCTTTGACCTTTGCCCTTTGACCCGTACCATGCCATTACATGCAGCACCCCGGACTGCTAGTACCTTTAGGGGACCCGGCATAGTGGTAGTAGTCTGACTCTGGGTAGTGGTCCGGGGAGTAGGCCGAGGGGAACTTGTAAGACTGCATGATGTTCTCGCTGGTCTTGCTTTTTGTGGCTGGGTTAGGGTCATCGTCTGGGGAGAGACAGTCGCCGCGTCAGAGACGGGCGCGGGGAATAAAACACGGCATTTTCCCAGCAACACGTGGGGTTGGGTAAGTGTGAGAGGCCTCACTGGTCTGGAGGAAGCGGGAAGGCCTCCCCGCGCCTGCTGTCCAGCAGCACTGATGATGAGTGTGTGAAACGAGGCCTGTGTCATACCTACATTACCTACCGAAAGCCCTTTTAAACAACAATTACTATTTTATCTAACTTCCAGACATGACCTCACTACGGTGAGATCAACGAGGCCGAGACCAGCTTCCTGAACCACGAGAGTTGACCTTTTCTCTGCAGGCCAGTGGTTTGGAAGCAGGTCAGATTTGGGGCATGGTGGCGGGCTTTGACAGCGGGTCGCTTGGCTTAATTAGGGCAGAATGTTTTTAAAGTAACATGTTGTTACCATCCCCCGATACAGTGATGGTGAGGAATGCAGAGACGGGAAGGTGAAGACACTGAAGAATAGCACAGGGAGCCCTACATAGGAGCCGCCCGGAAGGTTACAGGCTCATATCCTATGCACAGATGGACTCCATGTAGGAGATGTTCAGTAAACACCCGTCTTAAACGCTCTAGAGGACATTCAGAACATCTGAGCCTCCAGAATAGAAAGGTGTCTGTTACATTGTCATGGTCCCTCTCCATCATGTTACCATAATAAAAGCAAGTCGCGATAAAAAACACATAAAAATCTTAAAGTATTTTTTTCATGAGACGACATGCGGGAGAGCTGTGAGGATGAGGAAACGGTGGGGGGAGGGGGGGTACTCACAGAGCGAAGAGGCGACCAGGGACAGCAGTGGGGGAGGGGGAGTATCAGTGACAGGAGAAGTAAAAAGTAAAGAGAGGTGAAATTATCATCCATACGGGAAGAGGACACCGTGTAGGAGTGGTCCACATGGAAGGGGCAGCAGGGCATACTGACAGTGAGCTTAGCCGCCGGCCGTGCTAACAAGCGGCTCGCCACCCCCAGCCTGACGGCAGGACAAGCGGCTGCAGAGTCAGGTGACAGGGCACCCCACGGCTCCCCCATGTGGCTCTGACGGGAGCTAGCACATTACAGGCCTGTGGCTGAGAGGAGGAAAGGCAGTGGATAATGACAGGGAGCGCCATTCACCCCCCCCCCCCCCC